TGAGCGGGTGACAAACCCCGCCTGGTCCTTGTCCTGCTCCTTGAAGAAGTCCTGGAGCTTCTGCACTATTTCGGATGCCCACGGTGGCTCCTCACCGGGGCCTGGGGCCGGTGCGTCGCCGTAGCCCTCCCGCAGCTGCTTGCGCCGGCTGGAGCCCATCCGACGGCCCTTGGTGGCCACCCGCCGCTCGGCCATGGCTCCTGGCTTGGTCCTGGTTCTTGGCTGGTTCTCTCCTTGCCCGAGATCTTCTCTCTGTTGCGGTGGGAGATGGTGGAGTGGGACGGAGCTGGAAATTCATTTTGGCTGATGTCAACACCCCCCGGATTTGGCAATAGGAAGGGTAAGGCTTATCTCCAACAACGTGGTGCAAACGGAGCCTCGACCCACAGCCAGCAACGGCCGTCCCCACCGGTGCGAGCCCAGCACCCACTGGGCAAGTGGCTTCTCCTGCCAAGCACCCATCCCAAATCTCCCCATGGTCCAGCATGGCTATGGAGGATGCGCAGGACATTGGCACTGCTGGGGTCCAAGGGCCACCAGGGTGGTGACACAGCCGGGAGGTGACACCAGCAAAGGACCAGCCGAGGGGCTGCTGGAGCTCTGGGTAAAGCGTGGTGGTTCCACCTGCTTTCTCAGAGCTCAGCAGCAGCTTTTAAAATTCCTCCCCCGGCTTTTGCAGCCGTGAGTCACCTCCGGGGAGGCTGCTCCAGACCTCGGGCAGGTTTCCATCGCTCCCCCCAACTTGGGGGGCCTGAGCTCAGGATACACCCCCCCTCCCAACCCCGTTCCCCTCTCCCCGACCCCAAGTGGGTGGCAGCATCACCGACAGCCACCACGCCGTCCCCAGGAGGGGTTGTTCTCTTCATGGCAAAGCCAAAAAAGCTGAGCAGAGGAAACCACAGCCATGAGAAGCGGTGACGCAGAGCGGGGGCCATGCTCGAGCTGCCTTTCCGCTCCACGTCCAGGGACAACCCCCCCCCACCACTGCTTCTCCAGCCCCCTGCCCCTTTCCTTCTGCAAGGTGAAACAGCCATTCTCCTAAATCCCAGGGTGCACCAGAAATCTGGGGATAAGCCCCCGAAATATTCCCTTCCCCTTAAAGCAAGAAGGTCTTGTGGAGTTGGTGGAGACCCACAGGACACCGGGGTTGGGGGGGGGG